TGGGATTAGTTTAAGTGCCCATCAAAGGATGAATGGATAGTAAAAATGTGGAATATATGCACAATGGAGTTTTATTCAGTCATAAATAATAAATGAATGCCACTTACAATAATATAAGTAGAATTGGTATCACTTTAAGTAAAATAATCCAGGATCACAAAAGGCAGATACTACATGCTTTTTCTTATATGTAAAAGGGGAACTATTAGGGATGTGGAAGGAGAAAGAGGGGAGAGATAATGAGAAAGGATAACAGGTGAATGAATATGATCAAAGTATATTATATCCATGCAGAAAAATGCCATGAAACCCATTGCTTTATACAACCAATATATGGTAATTAAGTGCAAACTCTTTTGGTTATCATGCAATGGATAGATTAGCCAAAAGAAAAAGTGTCAACATAAGGTTCTGACTCTCATGTAATATAATGAAATAACACTTGGGCTCTTTCACAGTAAAAACAAACAAGAAAGTAAGACTCAGAATGGTAAGTGTGGTGACCCAGATCCCGGAGGTCCAAGAGAGCTCCACTCATATTTCCGGCGTCTTGGCTAGAAGCCTAGACTAAAGGAGGACAGTTGACCAGAGCATCTACCCAGGGCCACTCTCGCACAATGGCTCTGTGTGGCTGCTATTCTTGCATGGAAGCAGGGAGTCTAAGTAGAAGTTCTCAGGAACTGGAATAGCTCCAGTATTCTGAGACTTAGCCGCAGCACATCTGCCGTATTCCACCAACCAGAGCAGGAAAGAGTTCACCCCAGACTCAGAGGGAATACAGATGTGACTCTTATAAGGGGAGTGATGAGGAATTTGTCAACATCATTAAAAATCATTAAAGCCCCATCAGAAGACCTGGTAATAAGCACCAGATGGACCATAAGACTCCATTCTAGTGAAAACCAAACATGAAAGGAGAAGGGATACAAAAGACCTACCTAAGGCTGCCAGGGACCAATCCAGGCTGAAGGTAAAAAGGGAAATGCTCTGCTACAAGTTCATGGGCATGCACTATTCTGAAGACACTTACTCATCAAATCTAGCAATAAATCCTTTTTTGTATTTTGTGTGTGGGGGGTTAGATTAGTGGGGGTGGTTTCCCAGGGATAGGAAGAGGAAGTAAACACGGTGGCTGTGGTTGGTGGACATTAAGTATCTTTTTGTTATTTGGCCTAGTAATACTCCTCTATCTTTCCAGCATTTATAGTTTTCATATGTGTTCATTAGTTCATCACAACAGATCTAGGTAATAAGCTGAGGTTCACTGGGAGACCCATAACAGGCAGATGAATATACAGAGCCTCAGAGTCAGTGGCTTTATCGCTAATATCATTAAAGTATTCTAGTGAGTATCAGGGTTGGTCAAAACACCAAATCCAAGACTCCAAAGGTGTGGTGGATCTCACAACAGTCATCAAAGACTGAGTTTGGAGGTTTTAAACCCACTTTCTCCTGGTGACGTATACTCTAAAAATGAAAAAGGAAATATGACTCAGACTTCTGGTGAAATTGTGCTGATGTTAAAGAGAGATAGGACATTAGAGAGGGAGGGACTCACCAGTTCACAGATTTCCCATTTGTAACACTTTGGGACAGAGACACTTAACTACAAGCCAGTGTGGAGATCCTGACTCCACCGTAAAGCAATAGAGTCACCCTATTTCATGAAAACAAAAAAAAAAAGGAAATAAAGAAAAGGAAGGAAAGAAAGAAGGAAGGGAGGGAGGGAGGGAGGGAGGGAGGAAGGAAGAAGGAAGGAAGGAAGGAAGGAAGGAAGGAAGGAAGGAAGGAAGGAAGGAAGGAAGGAAGGAAGGAAGGAAGGAAGGAAGGAAGGAAGGAAGGAAGGAAGGAAGGGTTCTCAGAAATTTTCACTGGATCCACACAACATTCTATATTCTTTTATGGTTTGTAAATGGTCCTTGAAAATGATTAACATATGGAGGCATAGAGAGTCAAAGTGTCCCCAGCTGTCATCCCTACACTTTCATATATATCTCCTTCCAGTTTTGGATACATGTTTACACACAGCTACACCACTACCACCCACCCCCCAAAACTGTTTGAAATGCTATCATAGTCATATAATTCTGCCACTTGTTTTTCTTAAAATTCACATAAAACTACTTCATTTTTTCACTAAATATCCAGCATTACATATACCTAAGCAATGATTCATTGGTGAGTATTTTTATTTAGTGTCATTCTATATTTAACTTTGTAGCTTATAGAAGCAATGGTTGCATGTTTTTAAATTTCAAACTGTACAGAGCTATTTAAAGGGAAAGATAAAAATCTCCCACCCTCATCATTTCCAGTCTATTGCCCAGAAGTTTTTATTGTTGAAAAGAACCTGGGTCTTGTGTAGACTAGACAGAACCCTCAGAAAGCCACCTGCCTGTCTCCCAAGTGCTGTGATTAAAGGCATGTGCCACCACTGCTTTATAATGACTACTATATATTATACATAGAATAAAATATAAAATTCTTAAAATTTTGCCAGTTTTAGAAGTCAATCCCTAAATCATTTGAAAAGAAAATCCCGCACCTAAATCATTTCATCCCCTCTGCTACAACCTGACTGTGTGCTCCCAAAGTTCATAACTGAAACCTTAAACTCTAAAGCAATGTTTTAGGAAGTGGAGCCTTTGAGAAATAATCAGGCTTCACAGATGTGGAGACCTCACACAATTAATGTCCTCCCAGCAAAGATTGTTAAGGGTTCCCTGGTCTCTTCTCACTGTGAGGACATGGAAAGATGGTTGGTTACCCATAACCAGAAAGAGGATCCTTACCAGACAGCGAATGCACCAGCTGCCTGTTCTCAATTATGGACTTACTTCCCCAGAACTGTCAAAAATAAAGTCTATGTTGTTCTGAAATCACAGCCCACACTGACCAAGATGCTTAGTTCCCTATAGATCCCCAAGACATGCACACACACACACACACACACACACACACACACACACCCCTTTAGATATATAGATGATAGGTAGATAAATGATAGATAAATAGATAGATAGATGATAGATAGATAGATAGATAGATAGATAGATAGATAGATAGATAGATAGATCCACCCACCCACCCTTCCATCCATCCATCCATCCATCCATCCATCCATCCATCCATCCTCACAATATTCTGCTTTGTATTTGTTGGTTTTTGCAAGCAAGTTAAAGGGAATTAAATGTACTCTGAGAATGTCAACAAAATCAAGTGCTTGACTCATCAAATTAAAGTCCCCACAAAGAACTCTAAGTCACCAAGATTCCTGTCTGAACATTTTTTAATGGTTGAACAACAACAATCCAGGTTCCTTTCTTACAGGTCCACACACACTCAAGGGCACAATGTGCCCACTGTGCACATACAAACATATGCATAACACAAACCTGCAGCAGAAAATGAAGCAAACCACTTCTGCACAGCTTCTTTTCAAGGTAATGAGTGGCTGGGACAACGGCTCAGTCAGTGAGGTGCCTGCCACACATGCATGAGCACATGAGTTTGAAACTCCAACACCCATGTGAAAACTGGGCCACTGCAGTAGCCCCAACATTGAGGTGGGGGTTGGAAGCAGAAATAGGCAGATCCCTGGAACTCAGTGGCCAGCCAGCCTAGCTGAATTATGAGCTTAAAGTTCAGAGAGCTACTACGACTCCAAACATATGAAGACACCTAAAATAGGGTGCTACTTATACAGAGACCACAAAATTCAAAGGTAATATCTACATCAGAAATTTTTGAAAACTGACTTTGAAAATGAGAGCACTAAGAACCAGGAAAGCACCCGCTTATGGGGAAGGGAACTAAGAACCACAGTAAACCACACACAGAGCCACGTCAGACCAGGACAGAAGGCCATTTCCACCCACCACTCACATCTTGGAGCACATGAATCTGAGAGACAGTGCCCTGAATTCTCTACCAAACTAGTAAACCCAGGACCTATCTTCACAGGAAGACCTTCCTTTAGCTCTGAGATCTTTCCTAGGTCATCTTTCCACCCCCCTGCCAAAAGTCTCTTCTTCTAACTCTCAATGTCCTTTCAGAAACTAGAGATTTAAGCTTTGGCCTATGTTTAGTACATAGCACATATCTGGTATACAAAACTGTACAGGATATTGGATGGGTGGATGGACAGATGGATGATGATCTTACATACAAGGACAATACCTGAGTTCTTTTAGAAGTCCAATATGACATCTAAGACACTTAGTCAAAATGTGTAGCTACTCATTTAAATTTGAAAAGAGAAAAAAAAGCACACACATCATTTCCACTGCCGTCACTAACCACCAAATCTAATATAAAAGGAAAATATAGGAGTGGAACCATGATGGACAGGCTCAGACAAACCTCTACAAATCCTTCTTTGACAGGTTTCCAATTCTGTGACTTTGAACAAATCATATATAAAATTTCTTCTAGTCATCGAACAAAATGGCAACATTAGTGTTTTTTACCAGAGAAGCTGATGTGCCCTTTAGGGGTTCTTAGTCTTAATTATTTTTTATTAAGTAGTAAATTCATTAAGTGGTAAAGAAAAATTAGAAATGGACTCAGAAGGGAGCTTGAGGACAATTTTATTTGACTATAAGAGAAAAACATAGTACAGTTTAGGCAAAAAATTCCAGTAGTTACCATGGGGGAGCGGGGAGAGAGAGAGAGGGGGAGAGAGAGAGAGAGAGAGAGAGAGAGAGAGAGAGAGAGAGCGCCTTACCTTTTAAGTCAGGCATGGAAGAAAGACAGTTTTATTAGGAAAGTAAAAGCATTCTCACAAACAGAAGTGGGATGGTGAGCTGAAAGAAAAGCCTTGTGATAGGTGTGCGTGAGTGAGTGAGTGAGTGAATGAGTGAGTGAGTGAGTGAGTGAGTGAGTGAGTGAGTGAGTGAGTGTGTGTGTGTGTATACATGTGTGTACTTGACACTAAAGTCATCTGGGAAGTAGGAAACTGAATTGTAGGATTTACTCCATAAAACTGGCCTATCAGCAAGTCTGTGAGACAGTTTCTTGTTTAATGGTCGATGTAGGAGATCCCAGTCCACTATGGGCAGTTCCATCCCTGGGCTGTAAAAGAAAGGGAGCTGAGCAAGCTAGGGAAGTCAAGCCAGAAAGCAATGTCCCTATACGGTCTCTGCTTCAGTTCCTGCCTCCAGGTTCCTGCTCTGCTTGAGGTTCTGCCCTGACTTTCCTTGGTGACAGAAAGTGATCAGGACATGCAAACCAAATCAACCCGTGTGCCCCCAGGTTGCTGTTGGCCATGGTCTTTATGACAGTGCTGGAAAGCGAGCTAGGACAAGTCCCAAAGGTGTCCAGCCACACAATGTGTGGTCTTCTCTAGTCCCCTGCTTCCTGTTTGTATTTCTTGTATTTTGTTTTGCTGATTATGCTCTGTTCCTTAGATGATCGCAGGATGAGGAAGGGCTTTCTGTCTTCCTCTGCAAACTGGCTTCTTTCACATGGTAACTCTGATGTCACTTTTTCCAGTTCCCACTCTCACAGTGTCTCATCTGCAAAATTATTACAAGGATTAAATTAAATAAATTATACAAGCATATTTCTAGCATAGGGAGCTCAAAGCCGTGAAATCATTACTGCACAATGATGTTATTGTTTTAAAACTTCTAACGTGAACAGGGGAAGTCACGGTGGACTTGTGACATAGGCAGACTAACCACATAGGAAAAAAAAAAAACTATCAGGAAAGGATGTCAAGATGATACAGTTAAGGATCAAATTGGACGGCCTAATTCTTGAGGAAGTAATAGTAGGTAGATTTTAAAAACCTGTTTAGCACAATCAAGTTAGAGACCTCATAAAACATTTGACACGTTTCCAAGGGACAGGCTGACATAAGTTGCCCAGGATCGGAATGTTTTGTGAAACAATAAGGAAATAGCTCAAATTGAAAACAATGGGTGGGGCCTCCTGAGTCCAGTGGGTAGAACTGCAGGAACCAGGTGACTGATTCTGACAGTGGGTAGATGATGGCGTGCTAATCAAACCGCATTTCTCCATGGAAACAAGGTAGAGTATCGGGAGGGTGGAGAACCACACCCTTAACAATCTGGGAAAATGGTACTTGGGAGTCAAGCAACCATGAATTTGACATCAGTGAGGGGCAAGTGGGGAAGAGAGTTAACAGTAACCTAGCAGTCGCTAGGTCAGGGGTGTGTGTGTGTGTGTGTGTGTGTGTGTGTGTGTGTGTGTGTGTGTGTGATGCACATTATCTCAATTAAATCATCACAACCCAACAATACTAGTTACCAGGACTATTTTAAAAGAGGAAAACAGAAAAGATCTTATAATTCACCCAAGGCCATTCAGTCTACTGGTACGGGGGAGACTGTGACAAGAGGTGTCAATGTCCCAGCCAGCAGGCTGAGGCCCTACTGGGTGCTTACTGAGCACTGGCTCTGTGCCAGATCTAGTGCTAGGATTCGAGTATATAGTGGTGAGCAAAGACAGTCCCTGCTTTCTTGGAGCTTAGAGACTACTAACAAGGAGTTAGAGGCAGCCCTGGGCCAGACAGTGCCACTAACACTTAGGAAGGGAGCGAGGAGTGCAGCAGACCTCTAACTAGTGGGCTCATCTGGACTTGAGGTAAAACGGATGGCTCCCAGGGGGCAGAGTCACTCTAACGCTTATCCGGGTTAAACAGATAAAGAAGCGGTGACGAAGAGCATCGAAAACGAACTGCACCTGCCAAGGCCCATGGTAAGTATCCCAACACAAATGCAGTGTGATGTGACTAAAGCACAGGGGCACCGGAAGAGTCCCTGAGCTGAGGATGAAGGGTAGACACAATCGTCTCTGTTTTGAAAGGCTCCAGGTATTTTAACAGGACCATCTTTGGACAGCCAGAAGCAGAGAGAGACCTCGGCTACACCTCACCTAAACAAGGACTGCTGAGCAATTTAAACACGGAGGCCTTAATATATCCAGGGAAGACAGGATTAACAGAACTGTGTAAAAGCCTGATCCCTCCCACGTCAGTGCCGGTTGGGGCCCACTGGTACAGGTGTGATGCTGTGGAGGGCAGAGTGGGTAAACAGTCTCTAACAACACTTCTAGATAGTGATGGCCTTGGTCAGGCCCTGGACACAAAGCCAGCCTCTGCCTATTTTTGTACAACCTGAAGACTAAGAATAGTTTCTACTTTTTTTTTTAAATGGTTGGAGGAAATGGGGGGAAAAATCCTATTCTATGACAAGTAAAAATTACATGAACTGTTTCTCTCTAAGTAAGGTTTACCGGAGCACAGTCATTGTCCTTGACTTTCTGTCTTCCATGCATGCTTTTGTACTTGTTTCAACAAAAAAAAAGACACTTCAATCCCTCCACACAGCGGAAATTATTCATTATCTGGCCTTTTACAGGAAGAGCCCAGAAATCTGACCATGTGATCAGACAACTGATAAATGAGCTTTTGTGGAAGCAAATACAAAGTAATGCACTTTGAGATAAAAATATCCAAATTATGGGCAAAGTGAAGACAGGACTCTGAGCTTTGAGGTGGCAGCTCAGGACCAGAGGCAGCTGTGACAGAATTAAGCAAGAGCTTCCTGCACCAGATCATAACGCAAATGGCTGCCTATCTGCATATTTCATCGGGTGAGAGCGTACAAAGACCTTTCCCAGAATGCAAGACTGAAAATCGCCTAGGAATAACGAATCCATTATTTTTCGATTTCCTTTAAAAACTACACATAGATAACCAGGTACAATAATGAGCATCTCCAGACTCAACTACCCAGAAGACTGAAGCAGGAGAATGACTCGAACCTCAGGGTTCAAGGCCAGGCAGGCAATATAAAAAAAGAGTAAAAAATCAGGTCTAGAGCAATGGCTCAGTGGTTGTTAAGTGCTGACTGCTCTTCCAGAGGACCAGGGTTCAGTTCCCAATACATACATGGCAGCTCACAGCTGTCTGTATCTCTAGTCCTAGGAGGTTTTGTTGCACTTCTGGCTTCCAAGGCCACCAGGCACGTACGTGGTGCACACACATGCACGCAGGCAAAACACCAACACACATAAAATAAAAAGAAATAAATCTTTTTTTTAAAAATCACACACACATATAGATAGTAACAATCTGCATTTATTCCAGATTTAGAAGTTGCAATTGCGAATGCAGGACTGAGGAATGAACTATCATCGGGGCTTTCTCTTTCCCTAGAGTGTAAATGTCACAGTTAATGATTGGCATCTGTTAGGCATTCAAATAATATTTATTGGAGCAGGAAGGAAGATAAGAAGAGGAGAGACAGAAGAGGGAGGGGGAAGGACAGGAGGGGAAATAGGGAGAGAAGGGATGAATGAAAGGTGGCCAGGGATAATGGCCACTGAGCAGATCCACGGGGGTTTGGACTGGACCTAAGCAAGCGAGCTGGCTGAGGAGGGTGACTCGGAGGAGGGAAGCTGACATACCGGGAAACAATGTTCTTTAAATCTCCTGGATATCCTTGCTTTAGCTCTAAGGCAGCTAGGTGTGTCGGGTCACTAGTTCCTGGAAAAGAGCCTCTAGAGAACATGATCACCATATCCCCAGGATATGTGAATTCAGTGTCTAGGCACGGTTGTTTAGCAGGAGCTGTTTCCTACCACACTGACCCACCAGGTGCTGGCTCCCCACCTGCAAAGCTGTAGAACTGGTTGACCTAAGGACTGACATTATTGGCTCCAGAGCCCTGATGCCATGGAAGTCCTGCCTGAGTAAAACTGCGCTGATTCTTAGACAGACACCTCTGACATCTTTCAAAGCCGCAAGAGTTCTGCCCAGAGTTCCCTGAGAATACTCAGCTGCAGGATCCAAAAGGCACCAAGTGTCTTTCCCAGGATTGGTTTCTCTCCCCACCCAGCAAATCTGTCAGTGTCAGGGTTCTAGGATCTATCTATGTTCACTGCCAGGCAAACAGGTAACAGTAAATCAAAGTCCCAAGTCCCAGGAACCCTTGCAGCCCCAAGCAAACCTGGCTGGCCACCTGCCAGACAGGCGCCATTGAAAATACAATGAGGCTCTTATCCACCCTCTTCCAAGATCTGGCCTACTCCAGAGTTCTGCAGCCAGAAGCCTACTGTCTAGAATATTCAGAGCTCTTCCTTCTGGTTGAGGGTGGGGAGAGCCTACCTGAGGTGGGCAAGTCACTAGGGACAGGATTCCGACCAGAGGACAGCGGGCAGCTAACAAGCAGGGGTCCCCAAGGAAGTCAGCCAGCCTTTGGATCTCACTTCTGAGAGCTGGCTTCTGCATACAATGAAGATTGAACAGTATTTGGTGTTGGAGAAATTTTTTTAGCATTTACATTGTATGAAGAAGCCTACTAAAGGGAAGGCTGCCTTTCATCTTATTTGTAAGTGAATAGAATGTAAATTATTAAAATATAAATAACAAAGAGGATAGTAAATCTTTGCTCCTCTGTGTAGAATAGCTACAGTAATTACAGAGTTTATATATAATTACCATCTGGCATGATGGCTATGAGGTACTGTTGTGTAGTATAAATTATACACCAAACTCTTTGTGATTAAGGTAGTAATTCCTGCTCAGTCAAGTGTGCTCCTGTAGTCAGCTTAAAGCCATTAAAGGTAATTTAGGCTTGGTTTTAATCTTGGGTTTTGTTTTGTTTTTCTTTAGGGAACACAAGCAATTCAGCAGCAGGTGAGCTTGTTATATTTCATTCTGGCAGGACCAGAATAAACATTCTTTTTTGAGATAAAAAAAAATAATGCCATTTTTATTTATAAAAGAATTCTGAGAAAAGCTTGAAGCACTTGGCAGATTTTAATCTAAATCATCCTCACAATAAGCTCTGGAGTGACTTTATACAAAGGCCTATTGTTTAAAGTCACCAATGGTTAGAGGCCACAACGAGTTACTTTGTATGAAGTTGCTTCTTGTCCAGGTTTAATTCATGAATTTTATAATAGAGCTAGAATAACTATAGTGAGTTAGTAATCACTAATCATTATGAGGAACACTGAGCTCACCCCTAAAACTTGCCTTTTTGTTTGTTCTTGTCATTTCTTTATCTTTTATTTATTTTTTTTTGAGTCATAACTCAGGATGGGATGGCCTCAAACTCCTGGCAATCCTCTTGCCTCAATCTTCCCTGTGCTATGATTACAGGAATGAGATGTAGCCATACCAGTCTTTGAGAATTTTCTTAGGAATGGCTTTCTATGCTTGCTTTTAAACAACTAGCTAGACATTTATGTTAGAGAGAAATGTAAAGCTATGGGTGGATGCCCTATGATTAAAATATTTTTCAGGAATAAGTTTGTGATTATTTCCAGGGCTCCTATGATATACGATGTTAGGTACTGTGGATACAAAAACAGTTTAGACTAGATTCCTGACCTTCTAATTCCAGCACCATGATCTCCAATCTCCCTTAGTAAAGTCAGCAAGGGATCTGTTTTGATCTTACAGTGTCCCTATAAAGTGGGTAGGACAAATACCATTTCCTACCTTTCACAGACAAGAAGCTAACGCAGCACTAGTGTACAACAAGGGGGTCACAGGAAATGGGGGACAAAATTAGAAGCTGCTCCTGGTTCTCCAAGTTCCCAGGTAGCTCTGTGATGAAGCACTCCCTCTTCCGCCTTCATCTTCAAACTTCCAGCCGAGTGCTGCCTTCCAGACCCCCATCTTATCATTTATTCCCCTAAACACACTGCAGCATGAATAGAGGAATACTTAGCAACATTTGCTTTAAAAACTATAGGAAAACAAAACCAAAGGTATTAAACAATGAACTCAGTTGCCTACAGATCTGGTTTACAGGTAGATTTGTCTGACTAGGCAGATGCCCTTCAGCTAGGGGTCCTTCTGTATTCCCCTCCATCCTAGGAGGGGCCTTTCCTATATTTGGACAATTCTCTTGTCTATCTTGGGACCTTCCTGTTTCCTCCCTCGGGGGATGTTTCAAATTGAAACTGTCCATTTTGTTAGCAGAATACCCCCAAAGAAAGCCTGTATTATATTACTAGCTGTGTATCACATAGTTATCACTGTTCTTCCAACAGTATCCATGTCCTGAAAAGGAGAACACATCCCATGGGAAAACCTCCTAAGGCCACACACTCTGAAAAGAGAAAAAGCATTCTAATATGTGCAGTACTGAACTCAGTTGACTAAGTGGCCTCTTAGTCTGTTTCAATGTTTAAAACACTTCTTCCCTACTAATTTCCAAGGAGGAATTTTCCCAGGATGTACAGAGGCCTCATAGCCCTTGGTATTCTATGAAATAAAGGTCTCTGTACACTTCTAAGCCCCTCAATGCTTTTCTTCAGGTGGGTTCCATTTGTTCGCAGAAAAAAAATAACAAGGAAGGCGGTACAGAAATTATTGAGTCTGAGCACTGAAACCATGTGCAATTGAGTTCCTGCTCTTTTTCCTAGCTGTATGATCTTGACCAAGAAGACACTTAGCACTCTGAGACTGTACCTTTGCCTATGTAGAAATAACAGCTGTCAGTGACTGAGCACTTACCACATTCCAGGAAAGTGTGTGTCTTGTCTGACATGCGTTTTTAGTCTTTACCACAGCCCTATGAAGTAGGCACTGTTATCATCTACATTTGATAGGCAAGCAAAGGGAGGGTAGTTTGCCAGAGACTATTAGGTGGAGAACGGTGGAGCCAGGATTCAAAGATAAGCAACTGGACTCCGAAAGCCATGTTATTATCACTACCTTCTTCCTCACACTGTTTAATAGCTAACTGAATTAACATAAGTCACTCCCTGCGTAGTGCCTGGCACATAAACAAGTCGTAAGTAAATGTCAGCTGTTTTATAATGTTTGGCTTTGTTACTAGGAGACATCTAGGCCAGAAAATAGGTTTTGATGTAGATTTATGTCTATCTCAGCTGTGTTTCTTTCAGCAAGGCCTCTGGCATTACCTAAACAACCTACATATTATGGGTCACCTGGCTGAAAGGTAGGCTCAATGGTGGTGAAATTTCTTATGTGTTACAAAAAAAAAAAAAAAAGTCTCCGGCTTGGAAAAAAGCATATAAAAGAATGCATACTGAGTGTCTGCGAGCAGAATTGTAGGTCTTGCTGCTGAGTCATGTTTCAACAGTTTGTCTATTGTTATAAACACCAAACACAGAGACATAAGGCTGTAAATGTGGTTATGTTCCATATCTATTGACATAAGTCTATTTGGCCCATTTGAAAGCATGATGAAATAAGTCATGCTATTAGTACCAGGGCAGGTGTAGAAACAAGACCCCATGTGATGTAAGAAGAAAAAAAAGAAAGAATAAAAGAGTATTTCCATGTTCTGGAGAAATTTGTAATATAGTGTATTCTCTATCTATTACTGTAAAAGAAATTATCCCAAAATATATCCTAAAATAGCAGGCATCCATTATCTCACACAGTCTCTGCATCATCTGCAAGTGGCCTACCTGGGTAGTGCTGGCCCAGGATGCCTCATGAAGCTTCTTGTCAGGGTGAAGTCATCCAAAGGATTTCCTAGGGTGTGAGGGTCCACCGCTAATGGTTCACTCACATGGCAGTTGATGGGGCTGAGCTCCCTCCCTCACAGGTTTTTATGGTGCTGGGTAAGTTCCTCATGATGTGGTAGCTGTCTCCTCACAGTGCAAGAGATCCAAGAGTGAGAATGAGGAAGCAGCTGCAATGCCTTTTATGACCTAGTCCGTAAGTCACAGTCACTTCTGCCATATTCTATTCATTACAGGTCATATGCCATTACTAGGTGCTGTCCACAGCAATAGGAAGGGGATTTAACTCTACCCCCTGAGGAGTGGGGTTAGCACAGAATTTACGGACACAGTTTTTGGTGTCATCTCATTAGTTTCTCCAGAATCCAGAGAGACAAGAGCAAAAACAAAACAGAGTCATAACTGCAGCCCTCCTCAACACAGCGTGCAGTAAATGTTCCCAAACAACCACGCTTTTATTTCAACTACTCTTGAAACATCTACACTCCTCCTTCCTTGAGGTTGTGTGTCAAGAGACTCTGATGACACTCCTGAAACATTGCAGGCAGTAAAACGGTACATTAAAAACAACAGAACCACCTACTCCTGAGGTTTTTGGAGCAGAAGTAATCCCCAGTAAGCTCTCTCCTTTGGCTATGACCAGTGTCCTGATTGATGGAATTCTAGGTAGTAGTCTTCCCTTCCTGATTTAGGGAACAGAGAGTGTCTAATTCAGGTTCCCTAACTTGCTGTCATGATTGCAGCTCTGGGGGAAATGTGTGGAGACTGAGAAATGAGGGATCTCCCTGGAATAAAAAAGCAGCTAGTGTGCTCGCCCATGACTCTAAGGTGTCAACCGTCTTCAGAACCAAATGCTTCGTGTGGTTTTTATTGTATTTTTGTGACTTGCAATTTGGTAAGATATAAACTGTTTTAAAACTACAGTCTTTTTAAACACCAGGAAACTAGGGGCTTGCAGGACACCACTGGCCGGCTGGAGGTGTTGCTCAGTAGGTAAAACACTTACCTAAGGTGCATGAGGCCCTGGATTCGATTCCTGGAATCTCAAAGCGGGTGGGGGGAGGAATAGAAGCCAGGATACACTTTAAGATGATTTTTTTTTTTTTTTGACTGTGGGTCTTTAATCTTGTGTCTTGATGACATTCGAGAATGTGATGAGAGGTAAGGAAAAGAAGCTCACAGCCATTTTGCACAAGGAGCGTAGTAGTAGCACAGTGAACAACACAGAGGGAAGACACATGTGTGCTGAGAAAGAGTAAACATATGGCAAGCCATAGAACTACTGACCGTCATAACCTTGTCCTAGCCATCCGACCAAGCTAAGCAGCCAATTTTGCCCAATTTGGCAAAAGAGATGCTACCAAGATTCCCCGCTTAGTAAGAGAGCACAAAGTGACGTTTTCCACCGGTCCAGCCATAACCAAGATCGGACCCGAGATTCCCAAGACCCATCTCCAGTGGAGGGAATTTCCGAGCCGTGACACC